ATAATCAATAGGGTAGTGTCTCAGCGAAATCCTGTTCTGAAATTAATGCAAGTGATGCACTTAGTAAACCATTCTTGCAGCATTCCTCGCCGAACCAGAACAAATCGTGATTTTTATCACTATGATCTTGAGATTCGTCCTATCAACGTTTATCATTTATGTATCATTTGCGAAATTGAAGTGGCAATTGTTCAAAATCTACACATTAAATGCGTTATTTGAGTGTATCTTATGCGATATAGCTGCACTATTGCGTCATGTTGGTGCTATATGGGGTCAGTACGACGAACGTGCCGAGAAGATCAGGTACTGTCATCGCTTCTGACGATCGATCTCTCTTGACTATATGGTTTGCAATTCTGAGGAAAAATATTTCTCGTATAAACAGATAATGAAAGCGAAGCGAAAACCTTGACCGAAGTAGAGGACAACATTCGATGATTCATCCTGTGCGATTAGCATTGAGGCCGTAGGAAAATGATGGAAAAATTTGTTTTCTCACTCCCGAAGAGTTGTACTCGAATGCCTCATATTACTGTTAGATTATCGACGAATATTTTCATGCACATAACGAACTGAATAATTGGTAAACATCTTCTATGGCGAAAGGAAATCTCCGAGCTGCTACATTTATCTTATCAGCTTACACGGTTTTCTTCCGGTCAAGATTCTGTCTTCTAATGACGTTGATGGCCCATCTAGGTCCCTAACGCATCCATATAAACATTACCCACTCTCATCCTAAACGAACAATCCTAAATATCTATATTCTTNATTCTTGAGAGTAAACAGCTGACAAATAGGTCTGATGAGATCACCACTTAACGTCACAACCAGTGCCAGTACGAGATTTTGGAAAAATAAAGTGTATCCACCTCAAACCACTTCTAGATTCGGCTTGACAGTTACGGAACATCCTCCAAGTGTTCTTCTGTTTATCTGTCGCATTGTAGATAAAAAAGATTTAAAATAGTGGGCTATGGAAGGCAACAAGAATAGATGTGAATATCGGACGCCGAATGCACACTGAGAAATTTGAAACAGTTTGCGAAGCTTTGCTTTCAGTTCACGGAAAATCAAACACGACCACTCTCTATGATATATCTCACAGCAATAAGAGGCAATCAAATCTTCTTTTCAGCAATATATCACACGGATTTTTTAGGAATCAGTTAGTATTTATTCTGAGCGGCGCTACTGTGTACATAACGGCAGCAATATCATTCCGCTTGTTCACATTATTTTTCGTGACAGCTTCATATGTGTCGTATCGGAAACCATTGCTCTTCCGCGATCATTTCACTACAAGGTCAGTCATTCTAGCACTAATGGGCATTCATCGGAATTCGATGATCTCATTGATAAGGATTCGTTAGCACCCCCCTAAAACCAACCAAATTTATGACAAACGCGATGGAAACATTGTTAACTAATGTTACAATACAATTGACAACGGTAATTTTTCACTTTTCAGGAAATGGATTTTGTATTGCATGCTTATTCATGCATTTTCATTCACTGTCGGAGCTGTAACAACGTACGCAGTTACCTTTCCTCAGAATCAGTATCATCTTTGGTGGGGCATTATACTAGCTCATGGTTCTAATGCTTTGGTGATCATTGTGCTGATCGCTGAAGTTATTATCTCAGTCAATGTGAGTTCACTGTTTTGGCAGTATTTATGATTAGAACTTGTTCACCAACAAATCATTTCGGTGATGATCTCATAATTTTAGGCGATAATGGCTGTGAGAGCAGCTCAAGTGCAAGATTCACTCAACTCTCAGCGACCTCAAAGTCAAGGATATTTAGTCGCGTTCCTTACGTATTCCGTACCTCTGTTTGTTCTCACTTTACCTGTTGCAAGTAAGTTCTGTAGGAGTAATATTATTTCGAATGCACTTTTTTCCAACAACATGATCCAAATCAGTCATTATTTGGCCGGATATTATGTAAGCTATGAAAAGGTCACATTTGCTTCATAATATAAATTTGACACTAAACGTGCCTCAATTGTTGATGACGTATTGTGAAGTGCTACATGTAAATAAAAAGCAAATGAAATGGTTACTATGTTTCACATTCATTTATTTGTCTGATTAATTTCAGTACCCGTACTGTGCGAATGTATAGAATTTCTAATGACTGAAGCTGTTTTTTACGAAATCGGCAGAATAGCTGCACTGCTTGAAGTACAGGTGATTTTGGTGATTTTACTTTCGTCGGAATCCAAAATGATAATCGACGTGATTCCTTATTGAATGAAAGACTTTTATGATTAGTCGTCTCAATACTTCTTAAAACCATTCCACTGGCGAGTTGGCCGTAAGTGACCCACATACCATCCGTACAAGTTACTAGCGTTCTCAAACCTTGAAATCATTCATGCCTCACGGTAACCATTAATTATTNTTATGAACAGGGTAAATTGCTACGATTGGGGATTCGTTCACCAGGAAAATACATTCCCACTTAATCTTATATCGTTGATAAATTGTTGTTGTCCATTTCAGTTTCGAACGATTGCGATCAGCTTGTGTACGATTTGTGCACTGCCACCTTATCGAAGGGTCACTCTTGATGCATTCAAATGCTTGCGTCGTAAATTCCCGACAATGCGGCAGCAATGGAAGGACCGCACCGAAACACTGGAAAGCTCGTTTTGAAGCGCTTGTGCATCTCTGATCTCAACAGCTATCTTTTCGTATTTGTCCGATAAGCATTGTTGCTGATAATAGCTGATGTTTCCATGGTGCAATAAATTCAAATACGATAACTACATTGATCACGAACGACCTCTTCATTACACTGACCTTCTCTTTTTTGAGGATTCACCAATTTGGTTGATTATTGATGGCAGTGTTTTGATGCACTCGTCACTGAATGATTTGATTTCATATCAACACCACTAGCGTTATCAACTCCACTGACAGCACCAGCACGCAATTAGTCACTGGATGATTCAACTAACTTCTGATTGAATTTAATGCCTTGTCTTCAGTTTTCGAAAGAATGTTTTGATATTAAGATTTTATGGACATTTTAGACCCGGCAAGAAAGATTCCATGCAATTTGAAAATCAGAAATTGTGAAAAGAATCATTGGGAACGTTTTGGGAAGAAAGATTTTTAAATGTTTTCGAAAGAAAGTTTTGAGAGTAAGATTTTATGGAAATGATAGTTTTCGAAAGAAAGATTCCATGCAATTTGAATATCAGAAATTCTGGAAAGAATCACTGAAAGTTTTCAGAAGAATGATTTCTGAAAGTTTTCGAAAGAAAGCTTTGACAAAAAGGTTTTATGGAAATTTTCGTTCCGCAACGAACGAATCCATGCAATTTAAAAATAGGAAATTGCGGAAAGAAGCCTTGAGAAGGTTTCCGAAAGAAAGACTTGATGGCAAGTTTTTAAGGAAACTTTAGTTCCGGAAAGGAAGATTCCGTGCAGTTTGAAAATCAGAAATTGTGATAGAATCGTTTGAAAAATTTTTGAAAGTTGTAGCAGTATGATTCTAGGGACATTTTAGATCCGGGAAAGAAATTTCCATGCAATATGAAAATCAGAAATTCTGGAAATAATCATTAAGAAAGTTTTCGGAAGAAAGATTTCTAAAAGTTTTCGAAAGAAACCTTTGATAGTGAGATTTTATGGAAACGTTAGTTCCCGAAAGAAGGATTCCATACAGTTTGAAAATCAGAAATTGTGGAAACAATCATGGGGAATGTTTTCG